GGCGCCCCCGGCAGCGCCCGCCGCGCCCCCCCCGGGGCGGGGCCGCCCGGAGCCGACGGCGGCTCGCGCGGGCAAAACCCGGCGGAGGTGCGCCTGCAGCGCCCGGCCCCGGAGGTGGAGTTAGCGCGAGTTGCGCTTCCCCGCGCTCCAGGTGCGGTCTGTACCGAGTGTCAGTGCAAGAGGGACAGGGACCTGCTGGAGCGGGTCCAGCAGACGGCAACGGGGACGACTGGGGGACTGGAGCATCTCTGTCACAAGAAAAGGCTGAGGGAGCTGAGCCTGTCCAGCCTCGAGAAGAGGCGACTGAAAGGGGACCTCATTAATGAGTATAAATATCTAAAGGGGGGCGAGGAGGACGGAGCCGGGCTCTGCTTGGTGGTGCCGAGCAATAGCACAAGAGGCAGCGGGCAGAATCTGGTGCACGGGAAGTTCCACCTGAACACGAGGAAGAACTTTACTGTGCAGTGACCGAGCACTGGAACAGGTTGACCAGAGAGAGTGTGGAGTCTCCTTCACTGGAGATATTCAAGAACCATCTGGACACAGTCTTGTGCCACGTGCAGAATTAACCCTGCTTAAGCAGGGAGGTGGGACTAGGTCTCCCACTGTGGTCCCTTCCAACCTGACCCATTCGGTAATTCTATGCTCCGGCAGTCGCTCTTACCGGACAGGGTTTCGGCAGCAAGACAAGTGACCAGGTTGCAGGGAGTGCGTGAAGCGGAACCCGCACGGTGGAAAACGCGCCCGAAGGGGTGACCCGAGCACGCCGCAGCCGCCCGCGCAGAAACAGAAATGGACGCTGTGCCCGGGCCGGGCGGGCTCCATCTGCCGCAGGAGCATGGGCAGCACTGCAGCCTCCCCGGGTGCTCGACCCACGTACACACACCCCGCCCCGCGGCCGTGCCCTTGTGTAGAGGTCACACCGAGCGTCTCAGGAGAAATGTGTGTGCGGCAGGTGGGAGGGAGTTGCTGGGACAATCTGGGGAGACGGGAAAAAAAGAAAAGTATTGGTTGGCCCGTACGGGGATCGAACCCGCGACCTTGGCGTTATTAGCACCACGCTCTAACCAACTGAGCTAACCGGCCACTCGACGACAACGGTCGCCCCTGCGGTACATAAGGGCATGTTCGCCCTACCAACCCACAGTGAAGACAACAGCCGGGACGAGGAACCTCCTCGCCCCCAGGAGCGCCGCAGCTGGGCCCGCGCAAGCGGGAACACGCTAAACTCTTCGGCCAAACCACAAAGCAGTCTGCGCTCCTCCTATGGAGATGCAGCGCCTGGGAGGTAATAACACGCGATCATGGGGCAACTTCACCTCTAAGTCTATAGACTAATACTTCTCCACGTTTTCTAGGATATGATTCCAGTTTCATTTAATTAAAATATCTGAACCTTTTTTTTAAAAAAAAGCATTTACTCTTCTGAAGTTTAACGCACTGTTAGCTTGCACGGACAAACGATTTTCCTAGTATTTTGATTTTTACTACGCACGCAGCATTTACAACATAACTTTTCTGCTCACCTTTGAAGTCTACGTTAAAACACACGATGTCTGTTTTGGCAAACACCGAGGGGGTGAGGACAACGGGGCGGGAGGCGACGACACACCGCTCCGAAATGCAGCGGTTTTTTGTGGCTGGTTCACTATAGGTCGGACCGTGGTCTCCGGGCTCCTCTCCAGGCTGCTCCTCCCATCCCATCCTGGCATATCCCTGCATCGCAATGGCGCGCGGGATCCGCCAGGGATCAGCCCATCACCGGGGATGAACCTGAGCCGCTGGATTTATGGAGCACTAATCCGACGGTCCCAGGGCTGCCCTCCTTAAACCCCTCGCTGTCCCCGGGAATTCCGCCCCGTGGTGTTGTCCCGAACGCAGCTCAATTCACGCACAACGCGGCGACAATTCACCGGGGCGAGGGTTTTCTGGTTTTTTTTTATTCCAGTTTGAGCGAAGTAGGGGACTGGGTAGTAACCCACAAAACTCTAGCTCACTGATCATCAAAACTTTACGCTAGTTATACATTTTAACAAACAAAGGCATCGGCATTCACTAGTTACAAATTACACAGCTTTTCTATTAATGAGTACTCAAACCCTTATTTGCTAGTTATATCTCTCGCTTCTCGCGCTAATTAGTCGGCAGGCGCATTCTTCCTTCCATTTGAGTCTGGGGTCCGTTTTGGGTACGTGGTCAATGGGTTGCGACCTCGCACTACGTGAATTACCTTTCCCCCAGTTACTGCTCATCCTGGTGGCTCTCGTCCAGCCAGCCGGCTCACTTTGGGATTGCCTCCCCTTTCCCTTAAAACAACAGACCAAGCCAAACACAACCGTTCCCAAACGCGCCTCACCTGCCGGGCACGGGCGAGGCAAGGGGGCGTACTGCGCGTGCGCGCCCCCCGGCGTGCCGTGTGCAGCGGGCCGGGGCGCGGGGCCGGCGCGTGCGCGGTTGCCGGGGCGACGGGAACACAACATGGCGGCCTGAGGGGTAGCGCTGGCAGCGGGGCCCGGGCGGGAGCGGCTGCTCGCCCGCCCGGCCTGGGACCTGCGGGACGGCGCGGGATGCGCAGTAAGGGGGCGCGAGGGAAAGCCGCGGGCCCTTCCTGAGGGGTGGCGGGGGCCTGGCGCCTCTGGGGGGGTCCAGTGGTCACCGAGGGGGCCGCAGCCCCGGGGAGCACCCGCGCTGAGGAGGCCGTAGGTGTTCCTGTGGGCCCTGGGAACGCCGTCCCCACAGCCCGTGGGCAGCTCCTGGATCTCACTTGCCAACGCTGGTCCCTCTGCGTCCCATGACAGGGTGCGAATAGATCTTTGTCCCACTGCTGTGGAGCATCGCCCTGTCTGTCTGCTGATCCCTCCAAGTGCTTTCTCGGGAATTGCTAAGTTTTCCTTGTTCTACACGTCTTTCCTTCCATCTCTTAGCATCCTTCTTCACATCATCCTGTGTCACACCTTGCACATCTGGCGTGTCTCTGAGTGCAATAATTACGTGCCATGGCCTTGTGGCTGTGACTGAAGCTCAATTTCTTGCACCTTTTTAAACTTCTTTGGATGCTTCTCCCTTCCCAGGTGCATCAGTGTCATACTTAAACATCATGGCTTTTTCTTCCTCAGCATCTTGGCATCTTTGTAACAAAGTGTCTGCTTTAGATTTTTATAACATCCTGTTTTGACTGTTGTAGTGCTGTCTTTTCTGTCATTTTGTATTGGATTTTTTAATTCCAAATGATGATTAATCTTCCATGCTCTCTAGTTACAGTGGTGTTGTCTTTGAATTCCATCACTTGCCCATAATGTTATTTTAGACTGTTCCTTATTTCCTAGGTTCTGTAGCCTCTCGCACATGAAACTGTTATTTTGTTGAATAATTCATGGCCACTTTTTTGGTGTTAGACGAGTTCACATTGCTACGACTTGTTCTTCCTAACCTTTATTTCCCTTTCCACTAACGATTCCAAGCCTGAGCATCTGTGTGTGCTGAAACAGAAGGGAGGGAAGGGAGAGGTTAGATAATGTCTGTTACAGATGGCATGAAAGAACTGCTAACCAGTGATCAGGTCTCCTTCATTCAATGTTCTGTGCAAGTGTAATTAAAACACTTCTTTTGATTTCATCCTAGAAGCCTTCAGTCTTAAAATTTTTAACCTTTCTGTCCCTCTTCATCTCTGAGTACCATAAATTCAGGTAATCTAACTGGTAATAAGTTTTGTTTTGTAGCTGTACTAAGTTTCATAGCTTACAATTGCTGGGCTGTGACCTGGCTGTTCTTGTTCAGGGTGTGTTTGAAGTCTGTTGTTTTGGTGGGGTTTTGTTGCTGCCTGGTCACTCTCAAAGGATCAGGATGGTGCTGAAGTGGATTTTTAGGAATATCCAGAAACCTTGGCTTGTGGATGCAAAATCAAATTTTGTAATAAATTGTTAGTCTAAATTTTATTTCATCTCATTCCATATGAACTCCTGTGCTCTTATTCTTACAATGCCTGATTTTCTTTCAGCTGCTGATTGTTCAGAGCTTACATGTTGATTTTATGCTTCAAAGAGACATGTCAAATAACACTGTTTTCATTCCTTATTCTGCACGTTGTTCAATTAATTGAAAGTATTCAGGTCTTTGCTGTCATTCTTTTCTCTGGGTGGCTCTCTCTGAAGGCTCAGTTGTTTGTTATGTGTGGAGTGTTTGTCTACAGAGCACTCTGTTGTAAAAAATTTTTGTAACAAGCTTCATATGCTTACATGAAAAACACCTTCAGTGCTGTAGGAATATTTTAAAGTGTGTAAAGGATTAGCTCTTCTTGCACTACTGGAATTCTTCAATTTAAAATTAAAAGAGATCAAATTGTTTTGAGCCCTCCCCTGTCATCTGGACTTCTCTTGTAGGAGTAAAATACATGTATAGAAGAAAATACAAACAATCCCAAATTATATAAACATATGCTATGTGACTTCTTTATACATATGAAGATATTTTCAAGAAATGTGTACAATAATGCTTTCCCTGCCTAAGTACTTTGGTTCATTAACACTATGGCTGGTATGCCATAGATATTAAGATCTTATTTTCAGGTCATATGATTTTTTTTTTTTAATGCCAGAGAATCAATTACTTCCATTTGAGAAAAGAAAAATATGGGATTGCCATTTATTATAATAAAAGAGTAGGTCAACAAATAGTTAACTTATTTAGTGTCTGCCCTGGGTATTTTTTGTCACAGGGGTGGCTCTGACAGTATATGATCAAGTATAGTCATTGTGTTTCTAACTGGTTGGAGTATAAGTTGCTACCAAAAAAATCCACTGACAATTTCTCTTTGGAATTCTGTAAGAGTGGGGTTTAAATATTCTGAATTTATGATCTCCATTTTATATTTAGCAATTTAGATAGGAAGTGAAAACTTACAGTGAGGGTGGAAAACACGGTGCAATGTGTGATTTCTGCTGACAAGGGGTGTTATTTCCTCAGTCCAGTTATCAAATAACAACCACAGGAATTAAACAGTCCCATGGTGCCCTCTCTGTTTTGGAGTCTCTGTTAGAAATTGCCTCCTTTACCCATAATGATTTTCAAATTCTGTTTCTGCTTTTAAAGTAGTTCTGCATGTACATTGTCTGTATAGAGTGTATTAGAAGGTATGAGTGATTTTAAACTATGCTGCATTTTCCAATTTTTCAAATTTAGGTGGCCTAATTAGTTAGTTTCTGATGCAGCAGGACGGACAGTGATCAGAAAACCAAAGCAGCAGATGATAAAAATGAGAAGAGCAACCAACAATTTCACAGAAGTGCTGCAACTGTATTGGAGAAAGAGGGAGGGTTTACAAGGGGAAAGTTTCTGCTAAATTAAAATATAAGCATTTGGCTCATAAGGAAACGAAACACTTTATTGTTGTTTCGTTGCAGTTTGGTTTTTTTTTAACAGGGAGTAAGTGTGAAAGCTGAAGAGCAGAAAAGAGATGAAGACAACACAAATTGATTGTTAGTTGGAAGACAGTGTTAGAATGCCCCTCCCTAAGTAACTTTTCCCTCTGAAAAATTTCTTGGCAGGCTTTCTCTACTGTGAGGCTGTGTTTATACTTGTAAATTAAACATATCTGGAAATCTTGGACACAGAGAGCAACTGGCACGAAATGGCCCCCATCTCTACTAGCAAATTCTCTTCTCTTCCAAAACAAAGCAGTAGGACAGAAACTGCTCAAGAACTGACCTTAGAAGGTCCTCACACCAGGCAAGGAAGGTGCCTCACAGAGTGTTGGTTCTCACAGGACAGATCCCTGCCAGGGACTGTTGTCACAGTAAGTAACACAGGCAGCTACACTGAATGTGCTGCTGTCGACAGAGCTTGAGACTCCCACAGTTATTCTGACACCCATAAAGGGCTGAATGTGATAAAAGAAGTTTTCCTGCCCTGCCTCCCTCAAAATGACTGGGTTTGGATCTTCCTTAAATAATAAGCCCATGTCAAAAGCAACGGCAGCATAAAGCTAACCAAGAATTAGGTTTTGCTCAGGTGAAATGACTGAAAAAATTATCAAGGATAGAATCTATAGATGCTAAAAATAAAAGGAAATAGGAGGATGAAGTGGGTGAAGGTAACCAGGCACTGGGATTGGTGAGGAACAGTTAATCACAAAGTTGAAGGAGAATAAAGGAGGAAAGAAAAGAAATGTCAATTCTGATAGAAATTAGAAGACTGAAAAATTAATATAAATAAAGCTTTCTTCATAACTCTTATCTTACATGCTTCATCTTTTAAACTTCTGCAGAATTAGAATTGCCTGAGTTTTCACATCCTTGTGTTTGGAGCACTTCATTTTAGTGCAAAACTCATATCTGAATTTAATATGGGAATAAAGCTTTAAAGTCAGAAACTGCTTTGCTTAAAAAAGAAAAAAAGCAAAATCAAAACCAAACAACACCCCCCCCAAAAAAAACCCCAAACCAACAAATAACCCCTGTGTTAGAATAATGATTCCATGATACACTTGCTTTCCAAAATACTTTTATGTTTTCAGTACAGTATAAATAAAGGTTTGGAGATTTTGGAGGGTTTTTTGTGAGAGAAGCAAAGAATAAATTCAGATATGAGCTGCTAATGTGCTACATCAGAAAAAAGGTGGGAAGGGCTGCCTGCAGAGGAATCATGTCTCTGAGCAAGAAGGTGGTAGTTCATTGTCTAAGAATTACTGTATTTTACTTTCAGGAAAATAGATTTCTGTAATACGGGCAGCAAAACTTCATTTGCTGTTTTTCATTATATTTTCTCTCAAATAGCTTATGTGTTCACAAAAAAACCCCCAACTTTTATTTAAGTTTTCCATTAGTCAGCATTTAACAAATCAATGAAGAATTGTTATACAGTCATTATAACAGTGTATTTTTGTTTTTAGGATACCAGTTGGTAAGATAGGAGAGGGAGCATTTTCTGATGTCCTGCAGACACTGAGTCTTAGGAATGGAAAGTACTATGCATGTAAACACATGAAGCAACATTTTGAAAGGTATGCATAATTAATCATAGAAATTCTCTGGAAATCTTACTTAAATTTGGTGGGGAAATACAGAATTAAGACTAAGTGAAGTTTTTTGAATGCCATGGTTTAAAAAGGTTTGCATGTGGTACAGGAAGGGAACTCTGCTGCTGATTGGGCAGGGCCTTCCCATTTGGCACTGGGGGGTTATTTCCTTGAGTGCTCCAGTTGATGTCATCCACTGCATTAAATGCTTCCTGGCCACTGGTTCAAGGGTAAAATAAGATGAATGTGGACTAAACAGTTGATTTCTGCCTTGCCAAATGCACTGAATGGACTTGTCCTGTTTTTCTTTTAACCGTAAATAATAATCAGAGGAGGAAATGTGTCAGTCCTCTCCCCGGAGAATGCTTTTTTCAGGCTTATTTAAATACTGTTTTAATGAAGGTATTTGTCCTTAGTCCATGTATAGCATTAGTTCTACATCATATTTGCATTTATATTTAATTACATCCATCAACTAGACATTATATGGTCACAAAATAGGTGCTTCTTTATCAGTTAGGAAAATAGAGGAGAGGGCTGGGTGTAGACATAGACTTGACATTCTCCTCCAAGTATGTAAGTGCCAACCATAGTATCATAGTATCATAGTATAGATTGGGTTGGAAAAGACCTCCAAGATCATCAAGTCCAACCCCTGATCCAACTCCAATTACTATATCATGGCACTAAGGGCCACGTCCAATCTCTTTTTAAAAACCTCCAGGGATGGTGAATCCACCACCTCTCTGGGTAGGCCGTTCCAATGCCTGATAACCCTCTCTGTAAAGAATTTCTTCCTAACATCTAACCTAAACCTCCCCTGGCAGAGCTTGAGCCCATGTCCCCTTGTCCTATTGTTGGTTGCCTGGGAGAAGAGACCAACCCCCACCTGGCTATAACCTCCCTTCAGGTAGTTGAAGAGAGTGATGAGGTCGCCTCTAAGCCTTCTCTTCTCCAGACTGAACAACCCCAGCTCTCTCAGCCTCTCCTCATAGGACTTGTGCTCCAGTCCCTTCACCAGCCTCGTTGCTCTTCTTTGGACCCGCTCCAGCACCTCAATATCCTTCCTGAACTGAGGGGCCCAGAGCTGAACACAATACTCCAGGTGTGGCCTCAGCAATGCAGAGTACAGGGGAAGGATCACTTCCCTGCTCCTGCTGGCCACACTGTTCTTGATGCAGGCCAGGATGCCATTGGCCTTCTTGGCCACCTGAGCACACTGCTGGCTCATGTTCAGCCTCCTGTCGATCAGCACCCCCAGGTCCCTTTCTGCCTGGCTGCTCTCCAGCCACTCTGTGCCCAGCCTGTAGCGCTGCAGGGGGTTGTTGTGGCCAAAGTGCAGGACCCGGCACTTGGCCTTGTTGAACTTCATTCCATTGGAGTCAGCCCATCTCTCCAGTCTATCCAGATCCCTCTGCAGAGCCCTCCTGCCTTCCGGCAGGTCGACACTCCCTCCCAATTTGGTGTCATCAGCAAATTTGCTGATGATGGACTCAATCCCCTCATCTAAATCATCGATAAAGATGTTAAAAAGGACTGGGCCCAGCACTGACCCCTGGGGAACACCACTGGTGACCGGTCGCCAATTGGATGCAGCTCCGTTCACCAGCACTCTCTGGGCCCGGCCCTTGAGCCAGTTCCTGACCCAGCACAGAGTGCCCCTGTCCAAGCCGTGGGCTGCCAGCTTTTCCAGGAGTATGCTATGGGAGACAGTGTCAAAGGCTTTGCTGAAGTCCAGATAGACCACATCCACAGCCTTTCCCTCATCCACCAGGTGGGTCACCTGATCGTAAAAGGAGATCAGGTTGGTCAAACAGGATCTGCCCTTCCTAAACCCATGTTGGCTGGGTCTGATCCCTTGTCCATCCTGTAGCTGCTGTGTGATTTCACACAGGATGATCTGCTCCATAACTCTGCCAGGCACCGAGGTCAGGCTGACAGGCCTGTAGTTACCAGGGTCAGCCTTGCAGCCTTTTTTATGGATTGGGGTGATATTTGCCAACTTCCAGTCATATGGGACCTCCCCAGTGAGCCAGGATTGTTGGAAGTGCCTCTTGGGTTATTGACTTTGTATTCTCAGTTAAATATAGTGAGTTCCTAGTGAAATCACTGGGAATGACTCATTTGTACAAAGTTAAATGGGACATTTCGCTCTTAGGTGAGATTTCACAATGTAACTCAGAGCTTCAAAGATTGTATGTTAAAAAAAAGAAGAGGACTCAAATATCTTCAAGTGATGTGGCTTCTGATTCTCTGTTGTGTTGTTAGAGATCCGTTGGTCCATTTATATGTTTCCTACAACTGACAGAATTGTCCAATTTATGATCAAAACAGTATTTAAACCATCTCCTTAACTTTATCAAGGGCAGATGTGTACAACTTAGTGGTGGGGCTCAACAAGCAGACTCTTTCATGTAGCTATCTAAAACATCTTTTAGGCCTTTAGCCCTTTGATAAATTGACTGACAGATTCTTTTGATGAAGTGAACTCTTTTAGCAAAGATAACAGTGTTTTAAGCTGAACATGCCCATAAAAGGTATTTCTCCTCACTTCAAAGTGGAAAATTTTGTTTTTGTGTTTCGCTTTAAGTCTGACTGTGCAAAGGCAAACGTGTCCTGCTCTGATCCATTCAACAGTGTGCAAAGCTCTTTATTTCCTGTATCCTCCACAGTGCTTCTGTAGCATGTTTTTTTTGTTTGTTTTTTAAGGCCCAGGAGGGTAAAAAAATAATTACACAGTAGTTGAATAATGTATGTTTTTCATGTAAGAGTTTAATTTTAAATGTTACATTTGGCAAGGCGTCATGCTGAGCAATGTTTGGAATGTATGCTGCACCAGCACAGAGGAAACAATATCATACATACTATTATGCAACACAAAATTCCTGCCAGGTAGCTCCTTGGCGTGGTAACTGGTGTTGGAGCACAGTACATTACTACATTTCTTGTTTGGGTAAGTCCAGCTACTCCAGGCTACAAGAAGGATTAAAGCCATTTACTAATTACTGATTTGCTCAGTAAAGAAACAGCAGGCAAACCATTTGTCAGGTCCTGCATTTGAAAGTTCAGTGACAGAGTAGAGTGGAGTAGGTTCTGACAGTCTCCTGGCAAGGAACCAAGACAATTATAATCCAATCCCTGACTCCAAGTCAGAATTTTCAATTCAACTTCAGTATGAAACAAGGGAATAATCTGAGAGAGATACAAGCAGTAAGGAGGCCGAGTCCACATCCTACTATCTTTATGCTTACATGAAGTTGTTTTGTAAGTATGATGCATTCATTTCTTTCTTCCTTATTCCTTTATTTGAACAATATCCAGTAACTTTTGGGTCTAGAGACAACCTGTAGACACTTAACCAGCTTTTTATTTAAACAGAAAAGAAAAAACAATACATTTCTCAAATTCTGAAGTCTACATCCCTGCCTTTGTTAAGAAAGTCTGGTGTAGCTCTCACTTTCTCTGTCTCTTTTGCAGCAGACAGAAAATATTTTAACATCAGTATTAAAATTACAGACTGTATATATGTTAAGCATAGTTAAATTTCATCTCATACTATGTACTACTTGCTGGTGATTTCAACCCATGTTCCATATCCAGTTTACTGCTTTCACTGCACATCATGGCTACTGGGACAGTGTCTTGGTTAGGCACAGTCAGAGCTTATCTGCTGGAATAGGCTCTGGTGCTTCAAGGATCTTGGTTTGACTTGTCAGTTTGAACTAGGGATCAAGGGAAACTATTTGGCACTGTCATTTCACAGGTAACTTTACAGAAACCCCTTTGCAAGTAGTAAAAGTTTAGATCTCAGAGTGAGACAGCAGCTGAGCTGTGCACTTGGAAAGAGATCAGTCAGTGATGAAGTTGGGTTCCTTATGCTCATTAGGCACTTCAGTGTCTTCTGGGGACATGTTCTGTCTCCCAGAGTGATCACGTTTTATGACAGCATTTACTCTCCATTGCTTTGCAACAGCAGACATAGCCTTCATTATTCAAATACTTGACACAAAACTTGTCAACTGCTCTAAAATATGTTACATTGCCCTTCAGGGTGTCTTATTCCTCTGCTCAAGGCTCGGGTGCTACACTGTTAATGACAGGCCTGTTTCCTACAAACGCATGGGCAGCTGGTAATGGTGTCAGCAGCTTGGCTTTCTGGAATTCTCAGTCTCAGCTGCTGTGTTGTTACCCAAGTGTAACCCAGCTGGCCAGCCAGCTCACAGAGCTCCTGCTGTCTGAGCTGAACTGCAGATTGTACCCCCACCTTTTACTGCCTGGGTTAACACAGCATTGCAGGGCAGATGTGCTGTAATGCAATTATCTTACAGGGAAAACTGAAGACCTAAGGCTGTCTGCCTCTGCAGGGCAGTGAAATGGAAAATAAAGTGTCAGATATATTATATCATGATCATACTTAAAATTGCTGTTGTCAGCAAAACAGTGATTCCAGTCAGATACTCACTTCCATGCAATAGAACGCTACTGGTGATCTAACTAGAAAGTATCTTCACATATTGGCTGTAATGGCTTTCCTGCCTTTTATTGTAAAACTGTATCAGTTAATTTACCGGAAATTTCTTGTTCCTGGACAGGGTGATATGCCCAGAAGACATCTTTCTTGAGTAAATCAGTTAACTTCTGCAGTGGACACTTCAAATAGTATAAACTAAAACGATGATACCTCAGACTTAAGTTTAAAAACTTCTGTGAGACAGGATCAATTAAAAATGAAAATGTCCATTTTAATACCGGTTAAACTAAGTACTTTTTTCTATGCTGTGTACAAATCAACGTGTAAGTTTTATTTCTAGGTTAAAGTCTCCTTACTTGTTTCTGCAGTGATAGAAACGCTGGCTATGTGAATTTATGGACATGGATATTTATGAGCTGATAAAAGGTATGTAGCATATGCTTAAGAAGCACACAAATTCTCCTTGTGTAGATCCCAAAGTGGAATTAATTATGTTTCAATTGGTTGTTCACTG